AAGTCTCTAAAGACAGACATGGCAATCTTCGAGTACAATATTATATTTATATTTATTGTGAAAATAAATATCCATATTTCGGTATATTTCTGAGGTTCAGGCGGTATATTTTATCGATAAGTCCGCGGTCACATTGTGTGCAATTGCGCTCTCTCTCTCTCCCTGGGCGCTGTCACTCACACAAACAATCTGCCTCGCTCCATCTCCCTTCTGCACTCATTCGAAAGAACGGGCAGAAAGTTTAGTGCTGTGCTGGAATTTGTTAGAGAAAGAAAAAACAATAATAAAACGTTTTGCTTTCATTCCAAACAAAGTTTCAGTGATATAAATAAGAATCCAAGCCGGCTGTGCAGAAAAACCTTTCGGATCAATCGAATTGTGCAAAAACCGTTTGATATTAGAGAATTTGTAAATTGGTGTGTGGCTGGTTGCATAAAAGGTAACTTGTGAAAACGAGGGGATTTCAAGATGCAATGTGCTGAGGCTATTTGCAAAGTGATTAAGGCATGAAAAAGAAAACCAATGAGCAGATTGAAAGGTCGAAATAGTAGCTGCAGCCGCTCAAATTGATGAATTTTGTGTCGCATACATATTTTCTGTCTCATCGTCGCCATTTTTAATCAGTCGTTTTTCCCTGCCTTTTGTGTCTACACTATGTTTGTCTCGCTTGCGCACTTGAAGCGTCGCGTGTTTGAGTGTTGAAAAAGTCACGCAGCAATTTCACATGCAGCTGGAAATAAATAAAATAAAATCAAATAATATTCTTATTTTAAAGTGACCTGCCTACACGATGGAAGACATCACTAAAAACATAATCTTCACAAATGCTATCAACGGGCAACCGACTACCATCCAATATCAAACAGCAGACGGCACAATTCTCAAGCAGCCGAAAATAGAGGGCCAAAAGACAGAGCAGCAGCCAACATTTTACTATACAACAAATGTGAGTTGTGCAGCCAGTTTCCTGAAATTGTATCCCTTTAATCCTTTTGTGTGGTGTGTCTGCGCTTAGGGTAATGGAGGTACTGTAAATCTTGCACAGCTGGCTACCTCGGAGGACAACAAGACTTGCTACATAGCCCAGCCTGTAGGCGGCTACAACTATGCTCTGGTGAACGGAATGCCCCTCAACCAGGGCACTGCTCTGGGCATAGCCACAGTGGATGCCCAAGGGCGCATACAAATCGTCAATCAGAACAAGCCGATAGCAGCGGTAAGTAGAACTCGTAGAGTAGCTCTCCAGATTACATTTAACCCGCCTCCCTCTGCTATAGAATACCATATCCAACATCAGCTTCAAGTGCGACGTCTGCTCCGACATGTTTCCACACCTGGCCCTGCTCAACGCCCACAAGCGAATGCACACCGAGGGTGAGCAGCAACAGCAGCAGCACAATTCCCAGCAGGGAGGCGACTCCATTGCTGTGGTGAATGCCCAGGGCATGGTGCAGGCGCAGAACATTATCAACAATGGGCAGATGGGCCAAATTCAGATTGTTGCGTCCGACACGCTGGATCCCGTGCAGCAGAACGTGATGCAGCAACAGCAGCACGACTCCAAGGCAAACAAGTGCATCACTTGCGGCACTTCCATGCTGCCGCAGTCCAAACGAAAGGGTCCAAAGCAGGTCCGATGCGAGTCCTGCATGCAGGCGGAACAGGCGGCTCAGCAGCAGCAACTTTTCGTAGCGCAGGATGGTGAGTGAGGTTGCAATCTGATTGTGAAACGAAATTAAAAGCATTCCCTTGAAATGTAGGTCAAATGGCGCATCCCGTGCAGATCATATCAACCACACCACAGGCTCAGGCTCAGCTCCAGCAAATTGTTGCAGCACAGACTGGTGGCACGACACCCAAGCGTGAGCCAAATACCGGAACGGGACACCATCCAGTGAAAAAGCGCAACTCCCAGCAAATGACCAAGTGCCAAAAGTGCAATGGCTCTGGGGTGGTGCTGGTCGGTCAACATTCCCACGGGACCGGTGGAGCTGGTGGCTCAGTCAAGTCGTCCGTCACTGTCAAAACCGAGTGAGTAGTAAGCTAAAGATCAACCCCAAATCTACGCTAACAAAACCAAGGTGTTCGTCATGCAGGAATCCTTCGAAACCCTTCAGCTGTAATATTTGCGGTGGTCTATTCTCGCGCTACTCGAGTCTGTGGTCCCACAAGAAACTTCACAGCGGCGAAAAGAACTACAAATGCAGCATCTGTGGACTAGCCTTCGCCAAGGCTGTCTATCTGAAGAACCACGCGCGCATCCATACCGGAGAAAAGCCGTACAAGTAAGCGTCAATTTGTATTCTCTATGCGCAGTGTTTTACTGATGGTTTTCCCTCTTCGTGTAGATGCCAAACCTGCGGCATGCAGTTCTCCCAATCGCCACATCTTAAGAATCACGAGCGGACGCACAGCGGAGAGCGCCCGTACGTGTGTGGAGTTTGTGACAAGGGATTCGCACGCCATGCCACGCTCTGGAATCATCGGCGTATTCACACCGGCGAGAAGCCTTACAAGTGTGAAATATGCGGTTCGGCCTTCTCGCAGGCTGCGCATCTAAAGAACCACGCCAAGGTTCACTCCGGAGAAAAGCCCTACAAGTGCGAAATCTGCTCGGCGGCATTTGCCGATCGCTTTGCGCTGAAACGTCATCGTGGCATCCACCAGAAGTACGGCCAGACGGCGCCTCGCCAGCCCGGAGCAGATGGAATGATAGTGCATAAGCAGGAGATCCCCGACATGGATGACGAAGCCCAGCAGGAGGTGATTATCGGCGGATTATAGATAAGAGCAACGAATGCCAATGCCAAGCCGATGATCAGCTCCGAGGGTCCGGCAGCGCCAGAAACAACATCTTCGGGCTACCATTCATCAGGAGAGTATCCCCCTACGGAGTCGTATCCCGGCTACTACTACCAGATGCCGCCACCGCCGCCTCTTCCAACCGAAACGGAGAGCGCCGCGGCTTTCACCGCACCAAGATACTGAGTGGACGGCGGGGAGGGAAGCAACGGAGGAGCCTAATCATCAGCACTACCAGCAACACTAGCTAGGCATCGCATAGGATATATACATATACATAAATATATATATATATATTTTTTTTACTCTAGCTTTCCTGTAGGCTCTACGAAAACGCTTTTTACGTTAAACAAACGAATGAACCTAATTTATTTGGTAGTCTGTAAAATACACATAGCTCTATTCGAATAGGCTTAAATATATAACTATATACATAATATATATAGACGAGTATATGGTATGGTATGGTATGGTATCTTTAAGTGTTATAGTCTATTTCCGTATACAAATTGTAGGTGTAATTAAACGGATTTAAAGGACGGGGTCAGGGCGGGGACGGTAAGCGTATCGAGAAGCAAAATACGTAAGAATCTGCGCAGGCAACAAACCACTACATACAGCTGTATATATTCAAGGAAAATAAATATATGCATACGATAAAGATACAAACATTGCGTTCGAAAACAATATTAGTTGTAAGCCGAAAACCATTTAAATACAATTTATGTAAATTTAAATAAGTATTACACCATAATACATAAATCAAATAAATATTTGAATAAAAATTACAATTTTTACTAACGCACTCGTCTTGCTCTTCTCAACGCTGGTAAAGACAGGACTTCCGAGTCCTTGTTAATGTGGGAGGTACATATGTTAGTATGTATGACTGTGGACTCCATCAAGGATGTTTCCTCTTTTACAGAAAGCCCTCTCACGTCCCTATCGGGCCTACAATGTCGGAGAGAAAAATATACACTCATACATAAGTACATATACATATACGACTCGAGAAATCGTTGATCCTTGGTCCTTGGTAAGTGTTCAATAATAGTATGCATTTTCTTCCCATCACGAGAACACGGCAAACGTCTTGATTGAAATAAAAATGAGCAAGCTAGAGCGAATTGATAACGCCTAAACTAATTACACACAATCCGCACACTTGAATTTCGCGCCTCCAGCTAAGCCCTAACAAAAGGTCGGGTCGCCAGTATGTACTAAGTCAGTGTTTTATCGGCAAGCTTTTGACCGAATGAAAAAAGAAAAAATACTAACATATACCGAATGTTGGTATTTGAACCCAAGAACAATTTCAAAATTGTCTACAAGGGCTGCAAAAAAGTGAGAATTTCAATTGATATCGATATTTGAAAAAGGCGGTTTTATTTGTATCTCTTTTGTCAAATGCAATAATAACTATTTAACGATGCGATAATAAAATCCTCGAAGCTGTTTATCAGCCTTTTAGGCACAAGGAAAATCTTGGTTAAGCATTGTTCCACACATTTCCGTTGTCCTCTGGGTCTTGGTGTGAAGCTTGAAAACGAACTTGTGACGTTTCGTACCGCGGGTAGCCCCACAATAACCGCACTGTCCTGGGCACTGCTGCGCATAGAAATAAAGCACCTGGTTGGAAGTATTTCATCTTCACATGGTCGACTTTGTCGAGGAGGCGGCGGCGCAGCTGGATGTCAAGCTGTCTTCTGGCAGTGTTAAATGATGTTATTAAATGGAAACAGCTCGGACGCAAAGGCCGTTTTCACTGCAATAAGAACCCAACAAGCAAATTCACGTTCTCTCACACTCTGCTTTGGGCAGTATATACAGCAGATTCAGAAGCCTGGATGCAAAACTTGGTTGCTCTATCTCTTATGGTCTCTGAGTACTAGGCGCTCACAAGGGCAGAGAGACGAACAGACGGACAGACAGGCATGGCTATATAGACTCGGCTATTGATGCTGATCAAGAAAATATATACTTTGTGGGGGTGGGGTCGGACACGTTTCCTTCTCTGTGTTACATACGTCCACTTTGTGCACAAATATAATATACCCTATTTACTCTTCGAGTACCGGGTATAAAAAAGAAAGGAAAACGAACGAATTTTCTGGCCATTTCCGGTGTGTTGCAAAACTCCTGCTGTAACCCTGCTTTTTATGTTATAATTTCTAAATAAGTGTATCAACAGTTTGGGGTATTTGGGATATATTTTTTATTTTTTTCGCAGTTTTAGTTTAAATATGTATCGTGCTTGTATCGTGACTGGCCAGACGTTTGGCTTGATGCTGTCCCTGGACAATAAGGATATTGCCCTTAAGTCGCTTTAACTCCTCAAAAAGGATTTATTGTTTTGTCAAGTCCTTCTTAGATACATACTAAGCAACTTTATGTTGTTTCTGCGAGAACCAATGAAATCTGCAAACCTGTTCTTAGGACCAAGTGATAAATAGTCGTTAATGTTGTATGTAGTATCTATGTATGGTTTGTAAGTCATCAAATACATGTTTGCTCAGTATTATTTACACAAAAATGTAGTGTTTAGGTTTATGCACTTACAGTCTGGCGTTGAGTTAAGCAGCTTGAACTAGTGGAAAGGAGGGAAGGGGAATTAATCAATCTAAATATTTATGTTAGCTAAATGCGAAATTTCAAATCATCTGACATTAGTGTTGGTTTTGATTATCAACTCGAGTTTTTGTTACAGAAATTTAACTAATACAAGTACATATATATTTTGGCTAACCTATATCTTCTCTCAATACATTGACTTATACACAAATCATTAAAACCTAATTCGAAAAGCTACAAAATGATTTTCTTCCCTTTTTGTTTGGGGGGCTGAACAAATTTAACAAACTTTAAATAAGGCCATAGGCAAGATTTGTTGCTCTTATTGAATTATTACATAGAACATGTCCGACAACTATAATTATTTAGTTAGTGTGATATTCCGTTTGGATTGCTTTATAAAAAGTGAGGTTGCACTGCAGCTTAGTAGGAAATCCTTTGCTTATTTTCTTGGGGGTTACCTACTCCTCCTATTCGCGATCATTTCAGTCACATTTAGTGTTTATTAATTTTTTTTATTGGAAGCTGAAGGATATACCTTTGAATGTATTTTATGTGTTAGTGGCTCAAGTGAGAGATAACTGAATGTCGCTCCCATAAGCTCAGATATATGATGTATGTATCTTTTATGTGGATAGTATGTTGTAAAGCTTGGCTTGGTATCGATAGATAGAGTTGAAAAGGTTGACCAACTTGCTGCTGGTATTTATGATTTGATTGCGGGATTTATACGAATACGAATAAGAATACAAATACGAATACGAATATGCTTTTTGTGGTGTTTCAGACAACAAGTGGAGGGCCCTACTGATATATGGAGATTCTGGCTATGCCATAGTACAGACACGCCCGCTAACTACTCGAAGAATAACTGAATATCTCGACTAACTAGGCGAGGGCACTACTGCAGCACTACTACATACGTATGAATGTCCTAAGCTAGTTTCGCGCTGTGATGGAATGACAGATTTTGATGTGATTAAACGTTGTTTGGATATTGATTTGGATAACTTCATTGAGATTGTAGTGCCCTCGAGGGAAAGTATATTGTATAGAGTTTAGAGAACAATGCATAGAAGCCGCTTGTAAGCCATCGAGGGAAGGAGCAGCCTTCACATTCGCGTGCTCTCCAGGCCACATCCCAGGGCGTCGCTATATAGTGAGGCGTGTGGAGGCGTCACGCTTCCAATTCTCCTGGGCGTGTTGTTGCTGCCGTTGTTGCTGGTGATGCTGTTGCTGGCCTTTAATCAACTTGCTGGCGTGGTGCGGGTCAGCAGCTCATCATCATCCAGCTGGGCGAGAGCTGCCGGCGAGCCGACATCGATGGTGGTCACCCGATTGCCGCCATCGGCTGCGGAGGGCAGCTTGATAAACTCGCTGTCCGTATGCACCGGCATGATGATGCAGACGAAGCTCTGGCCCGTTTGCGAGTCCCGCGGATGCAGCGTCACGGGATGAAACTTGTCAGTCTGGCCTTCGGTGTAGGTCTGTAGGCGCTGATAGATCTCAGGGTAGTGCTTACGCAGCAACACTCCTCGGCGTGACAGAATGTCCAGGATGTTGGACAGGATGAGCTCCCGACTCCCAGGCACTGCCCTCAGGCCGGGATTGAAGGTGAGTATAAGGATTTCAGTGCGTTCTGGGACGGCTACCACGGCCAGGGGCTGTTGCAGGGCCTGCTGCTGTATCTCCAGCTCCGCCAGGACACTCTTGCAGAGCTTAAGCTTTGCACAGCGCGAAACTAGCTGCCTTTCCCAGCGTACGGGAGCCTGTCCCATTCCTGGCGCCTCGGAGACCACGCAGATGGCCACGTAGATCAGCATCTTCGACTCCGGTTTGTACTCCGTGCTCAGCTTCAGTAGCTCCGAATACAGCTCAAGGCCCATCTCGGCGGGCATCAGGTCAGGCCAGCGCACGTAGGAGGCCTCTCCCATGCACTGGAAGCCGTTCTTGATAAATCCCTCGGCGGCCTCTGCGCTGCGAAAGAGGACGCGCACGACGCCTCGTCCCTGGGAGATGCTCCCTTTGCGGGCCAGCAGACTGAGATGCCGCTGCGAGTCGAGGTCGTCCTTGCAGGTGGCTAGCACCTGGCGGCACAGGTTGGAGGCACGCGAGTGCAGGCACGCCTTCCGATGCTTCTCCCAGTGGGCGCGCCGACACTCACGTGAACAGTATAGATGGGAACAATTGTGGCATGATTTGTACAGCTTCTTGGCATCTGCGGGCGAGGCGCTCTGCTCGCATTTGGTGTTCCGGCAGCGGATCTGCAGTCCCGGCTCCCCATTGAGCTGGCCCCCGCTTCCGCTTCCGCTTCCGCAGCCCTTGTCCGTGTTCGCGGAGTCGCCCAACGAGACGCGCCTGCTCCCGCTGCTGGCATTTGTTTGCTGATGGCCCGATGCTGCTGCTCCTATTCCTGCTGTTCCTGCTGATCCTGCTGATCCTGCACCTGCTGTTGAACCTACTCCGGCTGACTGAGATTGCGATTGGTTGTGGGACTGTGCTTGGGTCTGTGCTGTCTGCTGCTGTTTCTTCTGGCTGGGGGCGTCTCCCTCGCTGCGGCGCCGCAGTCTCTGCTGTTCGGCTGCCGATAGCACCTCCAGCTGTTGGCGACTAGCTGAATCTCCCGCTGTAGAAGAAAGCGAAAAGATAGAGGACTAGTAAGATCTTAGCTTGTACTCAGTTCCAAGATCACTGTATAGTTCAACTGTAACAAACAACAAAGAGCATTCAATGGCGGAGGTGGTCAGTCATCCAACATGCTGGAAGGAACGATATGGGGGCGTACAATTGTTCATGTAGTTTCTTTTTCTCAGTGTAATTTAAAGATATAAATGATGGTTGAAGAAACTACACTAAAAACTAAATCAAATGGAATATAAATGAAACTGTTCTTTGAGGATAATACATTTTTATGGAAAAATGAAACAAAGGAAGCTCCCAGAAGTGAACCACGGTTCGCTGAGTGAGTTGTCCTTTGATCCATGGAATATTACGATTACAAGGATTATATACTATATATTATTATATGCGAACAACAAACAAGAACGGAATTAGTTTTTGCCTATACCCATATTTGCACTTTCTTTCCTTCACTTTATTTTTTGTAAGGTTACTTTTTAGTTTAATTTGTGTAATGATTCTTTTGTTTTGCTTTGATTTGTTTGGGTTTATATTGGAACAAAAACTTACAGGTTCATACCTGTCGTCTGCGTGGATGCCTTGTTATTCGCTTGTGTTCTGTTGTTGTTGTTCTGATGATTGTTGTTGCTGTTCTGGCTGTTCTGTGACGAGGAGGCTGTTGGAAGTCCTAGAAGCGATGCAAGGACATCTTCTAGCGATGCGCTGCTCAAGGAGCGTTCGGGCGCTACTTTTACCAGTTTATATTTGTTTGGTTTTTTTTTTTTCATTTTCAATTTAAGCCACAAATTTATATTTGCGACATTTATACACACAATTTTACGAGGGGACAAAAAACGTATAAGAATACAAAAGAATGGAAATCAATTGTTAGGCTTTGGAGACGCATTAAATGATGGTCTTACTAGCTAGAGAAGTGATTAAGGTTCAAGGATCGTTTGGCTGTGCTCAAAATTACACTGAGAAAATGTAAATGTGTGTTAAGTGTCAAGAATTTATAGTGACAAAAGACATTCATACAAACGTGGACTAGAAAACGAAACATCAATACAAAATGTTCAATTGAAATGAATATATGTAAATAAGGTCTAAGTTAAATAAAATAAAACATGGGAAACTCAATATATAAATCAGTTTTTATTATATAGCCACCATATAATGCAAGGGCTTGGCCAGATTGTAGTGTATATAATCGTATATAAAGCACGTATCTAATAGTCTATACAAAATATGATATATGTATATATGTAGTTCCAATATTTGTATATTGTGGGGTATAAAATATATCTCTTCGTTGCATAAATGATCAATTGTAAGAGTTTTTATAGCACGCTTAGGTTTTAAAAATTATTTTCAGCCTGTCTGTCAGACGTCGAAGAAGAAGGATGAATTTTGAAGGGTGAATTTATCTAGTTTTAAAAACCAAGCCTAAAATAGAAAATTCCAAAACGATGTATGGGGAGAAATTTGAATTGAAATGATAATGGGAATTCATAGCATAATTATTCAGAGATAAAAACACTATGATCAAGATTGTGATTTTCGATGACAAAATTAATAGTTAAAATTATGTTAATAATACAATAATTAATTGTAGGCCATTGCTTTGTGTTTTATTTAAAAATTAAACATAAAATTAAGCCATTAAATTTAATAAAATTATTACACACTACATTTGAGCAAATTGTGAATTTGTCCAAAATCGCACAACGAAAGAAACGGAAATTTCCGTTGTTCAATTTACAGTCGATTTAAAAATGCACCCTACGATATTAAAATGGTTTTGTTCATTAAAAATTACTAGACTACTATATAAACAGACAAACAAATGTAGAAAATTGCATTTTCGTGTAGGGAGTGTGGGTGTCGGAGGGAGGGGGGACTCTTCGTTACTCTACAGATATATTAGATATACAATAGATATATATTCTCAGATATTCGCATGTGGCTGCTGCTGCTCGAGAATAAACTTGTGTGATTTGAATTTAAAAAGAAACGTAAAACAAGAGCTAAGCATCGCATCTGGAAGCTACTTCTATTGGGTTTGTATCTACGAGTGGTTGGTAATCGAAGTCAGATATATATGGTGGACTCACCGCCACCGCCGCCGATTCGGCTCAGTCCGTTCATGCGTAGTGGCGGCTGTCCAGCGGCTACCACCGACGACGAGGTGGCATCCAGATGGGGATAGTGCTGGTGCAGATAGAGCTGCTGCTGCTGGTATTGCTGGTACTGCTGCTGGTACAGCTGCTGCTGGGCTGTGGCGGGGGGGCTGCTGTCAATCACGGGTGTCTGCGGCGAGTCCAATGGTCGTGTGCCCACAAAGCTGCTCTCAAGCCAGCACTTTCTATTTGAAAACATACACAGATACAAGACGCATTCGTTAGTGGGAGTCCTGGTTCATATACTTTTTCAAATTAAAATGGCAAAATCAATAAATGACATCACAGTCCGACTGCACCGTCCTGCACTTGTGGCTGCCACAAAAGGGGGGCCCGAACCAGTGTCACTAACCTCCGACAACTCTGCACAAATTGCGGCACTCGAAGAACTTTTCGTTTTGTGCGTTTGCATGTGCACCCTTTTAGCTAATTGAACAAGAAGGATTTGCAGAATAACTCTCGATCTGCTGGACCCTTTTCGGTGTTGTCTTTTCCGTTTATATAATTTCTTTACTGGCACTTTTGCATCTGGGCGATTTTCGTTGTAATTTTCCGTCTCTGATGAAGCGAGCGACTGGCAGCAGACGTCGCACACGAATGAGAAGCGGATGCGGACAAAAATAGCCAAAGAGGCCAAAAAGTGGGTGGCCCTCGGGGTCGCCCTCACAAGTTGGGGTTGTCCTCAGCGATACACAAAAGATAGGACCACAGAAAGAGAGCGCGCGAGACACTCGCAGAGAAAGAGAGCCGAACATATGGAGAGCAAATGTGGTGGTTGCTGCCGCTGCCGCTGCCGCTGCTGGATGCTGCTCCTGGCGCCCGGATGGCGGCCTGATTACAGAGACAACAAAGAAAAGTGAAATTCCAGATACTCTGGAGACGATACTCGAAAAGGGGTTGAAGATATAATGTTGGAATTTTATAGAAATCTAAATAGTGGATATTTAGGAATCTACAAGCAAAAAAGGATCCCTTCTGGAAGACTGTTTATCCAGATATAAAAACTCATGTCATTGGGAGATCTTAAAGCTAACAAAATATAGTGGCTCTTATATGATATAGGGCTTGGGTTAGGTACGGGTATATGTATACAGATATTTCGAGAAAAACTACAACTAATGAGGGTTTAAAGTGGATCTATGTGATTTTTAAGAAGGAAGTTAAATTTAGAAATTTCCGTAGGAGTTCTTTCTTTAGGGTAAACCATCCTTAGTTATTCAGATCAACTTTAAATGCAATTGTACTTTCACCCCTACATAGTATCTAAATATGTACATCTCCATCTATAATTCTTTTAGAACCTTGACCACTTCAACTTTGTTGAAGTTTTTGTTCTAGGTGGTTTTCCGGGAAAACCTTTAGCACCCTGTCTGCAAGTGTTGCTCTACTTCAAAAGTGCTACGACTGTTATTGATTTTCATAATGATTGAAGGAGGGACAAGGTGGAATTGCAGCAACAGAATCGAAACGTGTACAAGTGGCCTCCGCTGATTGCATTGGGGCGCCCGCCCCGTTGTGTCAGTGGCAGCGATGGGGAGACCCCACCTGGTCTTTCCGATGACCTGCTCCTGTTCGGTAAACGTATTTATACTCAGGTATGCATAGCGGACCATCAGTTGCATGGCTGACATTTAAATTGCTTGGCAACGGACAGCAGTCTGTGGCATATGAGAGTGAGGTGGGCGTTGGGCTGAGTCTTTTTATGTCGCTATATTAATGGCATCGGACCACCTTTGAATGGAGTACACGAGCAAGGGAGTCAGTCAGGTCAGGGGATCCAAGAGGAGTGGCAGAGCATTCATCCAAGCGGAGCACTAGCTCTGCATATGCCACAGAGTTCTCAATCAATCTGGCTTTGAATAAACCACCGGGCTTTGTGCATGCACGAGTACGAGGCACAATACTCGAAAGATGTATATATAAACGCAACTGATTCCGATTGCCACATGCCACAGATACGGATACAGATGACCTACTCTTTGCTCTCTATAGAGGCATTGTGTGTGTGTGGCAGGGAAATATTAATCAGATTTGTTAAGGAGAGCAGCACTCATAATTGAATTGCTGGGGGAAGAATCTATTGTCAAGGGAGGGAAAGCCAGTGAAAGGCAAAACATTTAAGGGAAGAAGAATGTGGGACGGAAGAGGAAGTTCTCAAGGGAAAACATGATTTAAATCTTTATCTTGGAACAGAAGCTAAGGAATAATTTATATAAAAGTGTGCTGTAGCTTCCAACTGCTAGTACTTATTCTAGTCTCATCACTTAACTTGATAATTAAAAAAGGAAAAGCCATTCAAAGGCAAAGGCACTTTGCTCAAAGAACTGAGAGTTTAATCTTCATCTTTGAAGCTTAAAAGCATCCATAATTTATCCCGCAACGTCTTAGACTCCTTCCTGTAATCATTTTCCCAATGATTTCTCTATAATTTTCCATCTTCATCTCTCACTTTTCCTGCATCTATTTGACCTACTTCTATTCTCCATTTTGGCACTGTTCCACTGCCTCGAAGGAGCAAACTCTTTTGCTGTAAGGGAGGAAAGTGTTTAGCGTTCTTTGTTTAGTTGGTTTAGTAGCTGGCATTAGGGAACACACACACACCGATAGCACAAGTAAGAACGAGTACTATTTTGGATTAGTCACAGATATTAGCCACATGGAGGAGTAGGAGCCTCACCGTTGCGGGGGCGTCTTACCTCTGACAGAGCCTGGTTTTCTTCTATTTCTTTTCTGTTTTTTGTTTCTTGCTATTCGGTTTATGTCAATTTGTTTTTGGTGGTGCTGCTGAACGGTGGTTGTGGTGTTGGTGGTGCTTTTGGTGGTGCTGAAGACTTTTACAGGTAGCTACGCGTTGTGTGTGGTTTTTGAAAGAAGAAAATTATAAATGGGAACATCGAAATGGGGCTCGAGTCGAGGATGGAGTACGGTTGGAGGTTGAAGATGGGCAGAATGGTTTGTATATGGATTTTGTGGGTGCTACAGCTACACACTGGGTGGGGCGAAGGTTGACAGATGGGATGGATCAATAGATGGATACGACAGATGGATAGATGATGGCACCACAACATCGACAAGACATCAACAAGGAAGCTTTCTAGGTTTATATTTAGCTCTGATTGTCGTTTAGCTCGGAGCAAAAGGAGCAACGGGCAGGAGACCGTTGCCTACCTCGAATTTGGACTGGCGGATCGGCTGCGATTCTGCTGCTGCTGCTGGGACAGCTGCTGGTCATTTACGTAGTGGACAATCGCCGAGGTGACCTCCTTGATGGAGCTCTGGATCTCTGGCGTTACCGCCTGCAGAGTGCGTCCACCAATTGGCGCCGCAGATGTGGGTGATGGGGTTGTGCGTTGTGCCAGCAGAGAGCTGGCGAGACTGCGGAAAAGAGAGCGAAATTAGCTCAGGTCTCTCCAGAAACGAATGTATTACTCACCGTTCGTGTGGCGTCCGCTGGGATAGCTTTTCCGTGCTTCGCCATCCGAGATACGGCTGGCGGTAGGAGTTCCTCAGGACGCTGCTGTTGTTGCTGGCCACCGACATGAAGCTGCTGTTGATGGGCGCCCCACGGGCGAAGCTGCCACGCTGCGAGACGCTAGGCGAGGTCTGTGTGGAGTTCAGGTGCGAGGTGGACCACCTGGTGGCCCCCACTCCGCCCTGTCCCTGTCCGTGTCCCTGCTGATGGCCATGGGCATGCGCTGCTCCCCCCGCTGCCGAGCCGCCGCTCACACTGCTGCTCTGGCCGCCATGGTGGCTATGCGCCGAGGGACTCAACAGCAGAGGACTGCGATCGGAGCGCTGCGAGTGCGAGCCGAGCGAACTGAGCGAGGTCGTCTTCGAGTTGAGTCCCTGCCATCGGCCCGAGTCCTGGGTGCGCTTACGTGTGAAATTACCCGGTCGATAGCCGCCGCCAGAGGCCGCGGTGCCCCCTGAAGCTGCACCTTCGGGCGCCTGGTTGTAGGCTCGGAACCACTCGGGTATATTCAAGCGCTGCAGCGAGGCCTGGACACGCAGCTGGTGCTCACTCAGGGCGGCCGGATTGTGATCGTGCGATTTCTGTAGCTCATTCTCAGGGGGCTGAAATGTATTCGAGACGAAAGAAGATAAAAGTTAGTTTTCTCAATGGATTGAATTGATACTTCTTGAAATTATTTTGATTGCAGATATTTATTACAAAAGAAAAACCCATCTTAATCATCTGCCAACCCAACGATTTTCACCCACAACAGATTATTTATCCACAGACAAAAGTTTAGCACATGGAGGAACGAGGGACAGGGGGTCTTGTGCCCCAGACCTAACCCAATGCTCCATTTACCTTGTGCCTGAAACGCATTCAACGGGAGCTCCATGCCACATGCCACATAACCCAGAAATGTCATGGAGAAAACTTTTCTCTCGCTGTTGGTTTTTTATGCATTTCATTGTTGTGCCCACAGAGGGAGTGCTGAATGTAAAAGGGCCGGCGGGCGAAAAACGTCTGTTGTAATGCCAAAGCTTTTCTTTTATATATGAGCCGCAAGAAGAACTTTTTACAGCCAGCCGTCAGTCCGTCTGAATGGAACACAACGCCACCCGGCAACAAACAAACAAACGAAATAAAACTGAAAGTTTTACCCCCGAGAATACTGGCCGAAAGTGTGCCCCCGATGACTCATCATAACTGAGAGACAGTAAAAGACACAGAGGATGTCTGCCCCCAAAATATGTGGCAGCTTATATCATCGCAAGTGTCGGTTTATGCCAAACCAACAAACATAACTCTTGGCTATAATGTATGTATGGGTCTTACAGTAATACAAAAAGTTTGTAGAATTCGTAGGAGAAACGGAATTGGCGGAGAGAACCTAGGGGAGAACCTGTTGATACGAGCTTGTTTTATGGAGGAATAAGGCGAATAATACTCGAATGGGAAGAACAAATGAAGTATTTATATATAATATATGCAATATTAGAATAAAAATAACGAGCATTCCCAACAATACCCCGCAAAGACTTGCAGAATTTACAGAGAAGTCAGAGAATGACTCCCAGCTACTCTTCCTTACGTTTCCTACATTCCTACGAAAGTTGCCCACTAAATATGTCGAGACACTAAGCAGATTTTAAGTAGACCTTAGCCGGCTGCTAAAAGACCTTTTCTCAGTCAAAACCAAAATCTCTTTCTGTGGCCGACCCCGCCTCCTTCTTAATAAAGGATTTCAAGAGCATTGCAAAAACCTTAAGACTGCAGCCCAAGTGCAAACAATGCCCTCCACCCCGTCACAACAAACCCCATCTCAAAGTCCTCTTTAGAGGGTACAAAGTGTGCCAACATTTTGCCTTGGCTGTAGATTCAGCTTCTGTCTTCAGGCCTCAACAGAAGGCAAAGGACAAACGAGAGGCAAAAGTTAATCACAGTCGTCAGTGGCACTCGAGGGAGGTGGCACACAACAGGGGGCAAAATCAGGTGTGTAAGTGGGTGTGTGGGAGGCGGAGAGGAGAGGAGGCAGCGTCTAAACTGCCACAGCCAGGTGGCATGCCGGCAGCAAGAACAACGCCGTCGTTGACAATTGTTTTGCCTCCGCCCCTGCTGCTCCGCCTCTGCCACAGCGACTGCTGCTGCGGCTGTTGTTGCGGCTTGTTGCAGCTGCTGCAATTGAATATTCTCAGAAGAGACGTCAATGGAGGAGCAGCCGAAGGCGGAGGCGGAGGCGGAGGCGGCGACGGATGCTGAGCTTCTCAGAGTCAGAGGCTGTGACAATGTCATCTCCCGATTTGGGTCATATTTCGTTTTGGCAGCTGATTGTGACAGTCCACAGTCCACCGTCCGCCAGTCATAAAGTTTAAATACAGCTTTGTGGGTCGAAGCTTGGAATACCCCTGAAGGTTGATTGTTTCTATAAGAGGTACATATGTACATATGTGATTTATAAGCCTCTGTCTGATAAGAGTTAAGCACATGAAACTACATATTTAATGTACCCCAAAGAAAAACGTTTAAATGCTCCATGGAAACTCTTATCCAAGAGTGAAGAAGTTGAAGACGTACCCCGCAAATATATGAAACTTGCTATAGCTATACAAGATGCGAAACTGGGAAAGGGGCGGAAACCCTATTCAAATCCCAATACCCTCAGCATAGTTTACTCAAATATTAAGAGTACAACAAAATCGTATGTTTCCTCGTACATAGGTTTTGCTATAGTTTACCTGATCGTATTGCAGCATAACTCACTATATGGCTGACAGCATACAATTGATTCAAGTTTTGTTATTCCTTTTGGATTTCGATGTTGAATTCGGTTTCGATTGATAATTTTGAAATTCAAAGGACAGACCGTACGTTTTAAATGAGAACATTTGACAAGTGGGATGGGAAAGTTTGATGGAAAAATCCAAGGCAACATCCAAGGCAAAATAAGGTAAAAGCAAACAGTTCGAAAAAGTAGAAAGTGCTAAAAAAAGTCAATTAGCATACGCACACGAACAAAAGAAGGTAGACGCACACACAAACACGCACAGCCGTACATATAGAAGAGGAAGTCAATAAACACACACACACACACAAACACGCACACAGAGTAAGAGGGAAAGAGAGTAATAAATATATAGAGAGACAGAGAGAGAGAGAGAGAGGTAGAGAGAAACAGGGAAGTGCAAGTCACACCCAAAAAGAAAAAGAAAGTGTGCGTGCCCCTCGGCACCAATGGGAGTATGTATAAATATTTGATGAAAATAACTTTTCGGCAATTATTTATTTTTAATGCATAGAGCAGAGTCCCTTCTATAAATAGGAGAGTGGCGCCCCATCTATAACTGTATGCTGTGTAACCTTAAAATAAGAAGCGGAAAAACGGGGAAAGGGAGAGGGTAGGGAAGAAAAGGGAACAGGGCAACAAAAAAGAAGTAGAAACACGCACCGACACGAAAACGAATAACGAATAACGGCACAGCGCGCGCATCAGTTCAGATTTTGATTGTAAAAAAAGAGGAAGAGGGAACGGCAGGGAGTACACGGAAGAGAGAAATGAAAGGGGGGGGGGCCGTAGAGGGAGCGCAGATAAAAGTGCCAGAGAGCACCCTCGTGCCAGAGTAAGGGGACACACAGTTTTTTAGGGCTTCCTCTTCTTCTGTCTCTCCCTGCCTACGATTTTCAACACATTTTCTTTTGAGCTGAGAAAATTAATTAATCAAATTTGGCTTTTACTTGAGCAAACATGGCGCGCGCGACATGCAACACCGACGAACAAAAACAAAAACAGCAGCAGTGCTGCTGGAACGGACACACACACACACAAACACACACACGGACACTCGAGAGGAGCGCAGCACAGCGAAACGCAGGAGGCACTCTACGACGTGCCGTTGCCCATTTCCGGCGCACAAAAGTATGCTTCGCTTTTGGACTTGTGATAGATACTGCGGCGGGCGTCCATCGTTGCTGCAACAAAACCAGGAAGCGCCGCCACACGCCAAAGCAGTCGAAGCAGAAGCAGCAGCAGCAGCAGCGGCAGAAGCGCAAGTTTATGGCAGCTTTTTATGCGCATGTCCGTCCTTCCTTCAGAGAAAGCTCGCTTCTACCCCTATGATTTTATGGCAGCACAGGATGCAGCCGGAGGGACGCCCTGAGTAAACGAACGGCTGCCTACACCCTGTGTCGAATTCCAAAACAAAGGAGCAACAGGCAGTGGCAGCAGCAGCCACATTGGAGGCTAGCGAGGGTAAGCAGAGGCAGGAGAAGAGAAGGAGAGGCATTTCTAGGGTCGATGTGGGCAGAGGCGCCACTTGGTCTATCTATTTTTAGACCCAAGATGGAAAAACACTTTGAAAAAAACAGAGTGGGGGAGCCAGGGAATCCCTTGGAACATCAACGACAGGGCAGATTATCTCTCTCAGACGGATGGGGTCCACATGATGGGAGACAATCATGTCACTGGGTCGTCCGTCGCCGCCCAACAAAAAGTAAGGGAAACGCAAAGACAAAACGGCAAGGAGGCAGCAGCTACGGATTTAATGGGGATATATGTGGATATGCTACAGACGGAAGACAGTGTTGATTCTATGAAAGTTTTACAATGAGATACACAAAAAATCGATTGAATTCTGATTAGAAATATGCCATCAACAGTCAGATTATAAATGGAGAAGCTAGGGAGACATATTTTGCATCTTTTGTTGTTTAGAACCCTTTAATGATAAATATTCTTGGGTAATGATTTCCCGTCAAGACTTTACTTTGTAATTAGGCAAAACAATTTAGTGTGGATGAAAATTTTCAGAAAATTCAACCGCTTATTGTGTGGGACTGACTATAAAGTAATGCACATGATGGTTTGTTCAAAATGAACTTGCTCAACTGCAACGAATTCCTGTGAACATTCCGTGAAGTCAAAGTTTCATTGAATATTGATTTTTGAATTTAATTTTTCAATTTCACTTCTTCTAGTTCAACTCCAAATATTATCTCTCTACCAAAAATCTCCTTTCAAATTCTTTTACCACAAATTTCCTCTCGATTTGAATTATATTTTTAATTTTTAATTATTTAAATGTTTTACAAACAAAATCGAAGTCCTAGGCTATGGCTATGGAAAACTAATTTCTAGTTTCTAATTTTCTAATCGATTTCTAATACCGAAATCGCAATCACAAGGTCAGGTAGCGAAGTGCCTTGTCGAGGAAGCGCTCCTCGGCTGAACCCTCGCTGCAGGCAATGGCCTGCCGAGACTTAGTGGACAGCTGGTACTGGTGCTGTAGGGTCTCAGTCAGCAGCCGATCGCAGCGCTCTTTCTGCTCGAGGTGCTCGGCGGAGGGCGCCTTCACGTACTCCCGCTTGAGGACCATGCTGATGATGCGGGAACGTGTGGATCGATGCTTGGGCTGTGTGATCACCTGGGAGCGGGGACGCAGCGGAGGCGGCGACTGGGAGACGGCGCCATAGATGCCAGACTCTGAGGAGCCAGAATTGATGCTGGAGAGTCCGCCGCAGGAGCAGTAGGTCACACTGCTCCTGGGCGAGTGGGCAGCACTGCCGTACGCCTCATCGTCGCAGGAGTAATAGTCTGGCGGCAGGTGGCTGCTCTTGTGCGCCGCAG